CGCACTCATTCTTGGCCCTTTGTGGTGTAGTGGTTAAGAACGGTGGACTCAAAATCTGGTGAACCGGGTATGATTCCCCGTTCCTCCATATGCAGCTGCTGGGTGACCTTGGGCCAGTCACACTTCTCTGAAGTCTCTTAGCCTCACTCACCTCACAGCGTGTTTGTTGTGGGGGAGGAAGGGAAAGGAGAATGTTAGCCACTTTGAGACTCCTTAGGGTGGTGATAAAGCAGGATATCAAATCCAAACTCTTCTTCTTCTTCTTCTTTGCTTCCAGGTCTATTAAGGATGACAGCTTTTGCACCTGTCCTTAGTGGGCAGTTAGTTGCTAAACATGCAAATAAGACTGAGGTGACAGTTGTGATTGGTGGACTGCTTGCTGTTGTAAAAAGGACATAGTTATCTCTCTTAAGCAATCTGCATGGCGGATGGATGTGTGTAATGAATATCGTGAAATGCATCCATCTATGTGTGTGAGGACCATCTTGAGAAGGACAATTATTTCAGCTGCAGTTCTCCTCCCTCACATCCTTTCCCTTTCTTGCCTGATTGCTACTTCACTCATTCATCTGTTGGATCCAGCAACGGATTACACAAAAGGAAAGGTCTCTGGCCACCAGTTCTGGTCTTCAGAATTCAACTTCAGTCGGGGAATGTGATAGATATAGCTTACTCTTGGGTAAGGGGTAGCCTATGACTGCTGCTTCTTTTCCTGACAGTCATAGGCTACTTCCAAGGTCTTGGACTTAGATGCCTTGCTTCAAAATCCAAAGCACTATTACTTTAAAAAGCAAAACACTGTTCTATCTAAAGATTCCTGCATTGCAGGGGTTTGGACTAGATAACCCTCGTGGTCTCTTCCAACGCTACAATTCTGAGATTCTGTCTTGTATATACACAAAGCCTTCTATCTCGATGTTTTCTTTTGCCCTGTTTTTCTCTGAGAGACACATTATGGTTTCTCATAAATAAAATGAATTAATCATGCAAATAACAGAACAAAATGTTTCCCCTGTAAATGAATGTTTTGAATCTCTTCACATTTTTTTCTAAGAATGTGTCAAAGTACTTCTAACAGTGAAACCAACAAGCCAACATCTTGTTGTCAACTACGTTTGAAACATTAACATATTTCGGTGAAAAAGTACTTCAGCCATTAGAAAATCTCGGGCTGGCACAGACCTTTTTAAATGTGCAAGCAATTTCATAAATAAATCCACAACTGTTCTAGGACTCATCTATATAGCTGCAAATAAAACGTTTTAAGTGTATTTTAAGTGCAATATACAATGTGATATTACATGGCGATGGTGATCCTTATGGAAAATTCAGTGTAGTTTTAAAAACATTTTTTTAAAGAAGCATTTTCAGAATGGTTTTTATATGTGTGTAGATTCCACCCTAGACTTACCATTTTCATATTGCCAATTACTGTCTGAAAGAGCAGCGGATATACAAATCAGGTGTATTTGCAGAACTGGCAGCAGCAGGGTCATATGTTAAGGCGTGGTCCAACAGAGGAAACCACACCCGAGCTTCCTTTCACATCTCTCTCTCCCCCCCCCCCCACATGCAAGTGCTATACTTCATTTGTCAACCTGGTTACTCTCAAGCAGCGCAAATAGATATGAGACAAAAGCACAGAGTATGTTATGTCTTAGAATGGCACACCAGAAATAGCTGGTGCAAGTCTCAGCACCTGGTTCTGCCTAGGACCCCACTTCTGGGCTTTGTTGTGGGGAAGGCAGCATCACATCAAAGAGGCAATAATTTCCGCAGAATGGGCCTTGTGATGTCTAAGAGGCATTGCGAGGGATGTGATTTCACAGTGAGCATCTGCAACAGAGCAAGCTGCCTCCTGTACTCTGAATAGTTGCATGGAAGAGGGGAAATCTGGAAGGTCTCACTTTTGGAGCCCATAAATCAGAGGTTGCCTATCTTTCTGGACCAGCAAGTACATTCTGAATTTTGAGACAGTGCTGGGGGTGCTGTCACAAAAAAGATGGTGTGTGTGGCATAACACAAAACTAGAGAGGCAGCCACTCCCGCCATCCATGGTAAGACGGCTATGTCCTGCTGGTCCTGAATAATAATAATAATAATAATAATAATAATAATAATAATAATTTTATTGTTTATACCCCACCCATCTGACTGGGTTTCCCCAGCCACTCTGGAAGGCTCCCAACAGAATATTAAAAACACGATAAAACATCAAACATTAAAAACTTCGCTTGGCAGGGCTGCCTGCAGATGTCTTCTAAAAGTCAGGTAGTTGTTTATTTCCTTGACATCTGATGGGAGGGTGTTCCACAGGGCGGCTGCCACTACCGAGAAGGCCCTCTGCCTGGAGGAGATCACACCATATTTCACATAACACATACAATCACACACACAGACACACACACACACACACATTGCTGTTGGCTAAAAGCAACAGAGAGCATTTCTCAGTACCAGGGAAAAACACACAGGGTGGCTAAACCACACTCCCTCTCATTTCACAGAAACCACTTAGAAGGTACCTGCACATTTTGCCACATAACTTTCTTTTTAGAAAACCTAGAGACTTACTTATTTAAAAAAAGAAACAGCCTTGAGCCCAGGGGCAGCAGTGAAATCTATATGGGCAGCAGCTTAGTGACCCCTGCCCTAAATGATAACCTACAAATGTTGGCATGTGTAGCTTGCTTATCATTTGAGGGACGCAGAAAGAGGAACCTTCCAAATCCTCCCTTCTATACAACTGTTAAAACTTATGTATGATAACAGTACGGGAAGCCTGCCCCACCCCTCTGCATTACTTTACAGTGTTCGTTTGCAGAATGAAGCAGCAAGATGAAGCGACTTTTCACCACTAGTGTAGGCTCTCCAGCCTGCCATTTGGTGTGGAAGGTTCAGGTATTTACCAGCTTCTTGCAAAAAGCTGCCTGCTATTTCAAGCAGCGAGCATTTCCAGCAAAGAAGCATCCCTTGACCTGTTCCAAGCAGCAAGCTGGTGCACCTCCTCTTGAGTAGGTCTTGGAGGGGGTGCACTGAATTAGTTGTCTCCTTTCTAAACTCAAAAGCCAATATATTTAATGTCAGTACAATGATGGCATAGTATCTCAGTAAATATCAACAGTGTGCTCACACCCTGAGTCCACAATGGCAGTTCTGGTCAGTCCATTGGCTATATAATATTTAATATTTAGCATTTAATCTTTTCTAATAAGATGCGCTTGTGCATGACTCAAGTTGTAGCACAATGATATGATGCTTTTCATCAAAAGTTCCGCACTGTGGTTTGAAGATTTCATTACTTAATCGGTACTGGGAGGTTATTTTTTGGTCAGTTTGATTCACTTTGCATTTGTCAACGCACAGATGTCATGTGAAGTCAGATATATGGGGTGGGAATCTCTGCCTTTTACATCTTTGGCTTAATCTCTGAGGTTGATCTTTCTGTTTTGGCAATAAATGGTGTATGGTTATAATTGCTGTCATCTTCAGTATTGGTTACGTGAAGAAAGGAAGCAATCTGTCACTTGACCAATGCAAAGAAACCGCAACAAAGTCTGCTTAACTGATGGACCCTTTCCAGTCCTGTCATTCTGTGGTGGTGGTAGGGACAATAATATAGTAAATTGCCGGGAACCCAACAAGTCTTTCATTATGGCCAGATCAGCCCCGAATTCTTTACAAATGTTGGTGAAAATGTACCTTTGTCAACCTGGTTAGTTCTAGTTCCACTGAAACTGGACTGGTTTAACAGAGAAACATTAAGGATTTGGAGCCATGTATGCCAAAACGTCTGAGCTTCCTAAATGGTGAAGCTTCTCAGCTTCCTAAATTGGATGTTTTATTCAAAACATAGGTTATAAACAATGATCTAGTAACTTTTAAAAATGTCTACTCTACCCACAATAAATCCTCAACCCAAACTGAGCCATCTAGGTATGAGGGGGGTGGTTCTGGTCTGACACAACCTTTAAACACGCTCATAGATTTGGGACCTGTGCATTTGAGAAACTCTCTCAACTGCCCCTATATTGCTCTTGCTTCAGCAGTGAAGCAGCTCAGAATGAGAGGAAAGGAGACTTCCGATCCAGACAGACCCACCCATCCTCCCTCAGGGCTGCACAAGTAGATGGAACAGGCAGCCACCCAAGTGCCTGCTTAGCTGCACATGAGCCGTTTGGAAGGAAGAGGCAGCACATGGAAGTATCTGAGAGTTGGCTAGGGACCCAGGCAACTAGTGTGGAGATTTCTAGTCCTGGGGATGCCGAGATTTGATGGCTCCTCAGCAGTGCAAAGCTCTGCTGGGAGGCCCCACACTCCTTGCTCCTCATCTGCAGAATGAAACCTCAGGTTTTGAGGTCTGGGCATGGCTGAGCCATGGCATTCTGCCATCATTTGAGGGGATGTGGGCAGTACCTGGGGAGAGTGCCTTCTCACCTTTGGTGCCCTGCATGCAGAATTCTCTCGTCAAAAGGAGAATTCTTAATTAAGTCTTAAATAATTAAGTGAAAGCTTTCAATCTCCTGATTGAAATACACACACAGAGTCCTACCTCCCCCGAAACATCTTTCCCATTCATTGCAATGGACAGGCCAGCTCATGGCATCCAACTCTTTGAGTATACACTGATCAGCCCCTCAGTGCTACCTAATTGATGTTTTATTAAGCATAAAATAATTATAATAAAAGCAGTTATTTTTATATCATCCAATATTGCATTTTAGCACTGCTTGTGTTTGTATTATGTTCATAGCAGGAACAACTTGCATTTGCATTTTACTTATGACAGCAACATCAGCTATAAGAATCATGTAAGTATTTTTTACTCAACAATCTGAAGATATCACAGTATTGCATAAGAGTAAGATATAAGGGCAACTTGGTGGTGGTGGTGATTTTATATAGCTGGAAATGGATTTAGCCATAAAGGAAGCTGGAAAACCAATGTGAATTGTTGCTACATGTTGTTTTCACTTATCTCTTCTCCACCCTAGGTTGCAGACCTCAGTCACATGACAGAATTCTGCAGAGCCTCAAGCGCCAACAAGCCCATCATACGAAATGTATTTAAATAGTACCAATTCAACTCTGGACAGTGCAACCATTAACATGCTTCAGAACCAAGTCATCATGGTTGCCTTGCCAGTTGTGTACTCCCTGACAGCAATCATCAGCATCCCTGGAAACGTTTTCTCCCTCTGGATACTCTTCCGCCACATCAAGCCCAGAACCACCTCGGTCATCTTCATGATTAATCTTAGCATCACCGATCTTGCGCTGGCTTCCTGTTTCCCCTTCCAAATTATATATCACTATGGTGGGAACAACTGGACTTTCGGCAGGCGCACGTGCAGCTTCGTCACGGTGATGTTTTACGCAAACATGTATTGCTCCATAATCACTATGACCTGCATCAGTTTGGAGCGATACTTGGGAGTGGTAAAACCAATGACGTCCCAGAAATGGAGAAGAAAGAGATACGCGATTGCCTGCTGCCTTGGAATGTGGTTTCTTGTTCTGATAGCCCTATGGCCATTAGAAGCGGAAGACCTGACTTTTGAAGTGAAAGAACTGAACATTACCACATGCTTCGATGTGCTTAAGTGGAAAATGCTTCCTAGCATGGGGGCATGGGCAGCTTTCCTTTTACTGCCCTTCTTCTTCTTCTTCTTGCTCCCGTTTATAGTGACCATAATCTGTTACTTTAGCATTATTCGGAAGCTGATCCAGGCCTCTAAGAAATATGGCAATGGGCAGAAGAACCGATCTATCTACTTGGCCACCATAGTCGTCTTGGTGTTCATCATTTGTTTTGCTCCCAACAACTTTGTCCTGCTGGTGCACATCATCAGCCGCCTCCGTAAACAGGAAGGCTACTACTACATTTACAAACTCACCTTGTGCCTCAGCTGCCTCAACAACTGCATCGATCCATTCATTTACTACTTTGCATCCAAGGAGTTCTATCAGACATTCATGCAGGTGATCGGCAAGAAGGTACCTCTGATGGAAAGCTGGGAAAGTAGAAGGGAAAGCATGTTCTCTGCCAGGACGACGTCGGCAAGATCGATGTCAAGCGGACACGCGGAAGGGGTGGCAGAACATAGACCATGTTTGCAAAGAAGTGAAAGTGTGTTTTGACACCGGGGTTCAAATGGGAAGCGGGTGCCATCTTTGCTCCGTAAAATGAAACCATAGCACTGGTGTCATTGAATGAAGCCACTGCTGGTGTCATTGGAAGGTATAGATATCAAGGAACACCAAAGGCAGAACTACATGTTACTGGAGAGACATGGTGCTGCTCCCCTCAAATGGCATTATTTTTATTATTTATTAAATATCCACCCAAATATTATGTTCTCCCCAAACCTTCCTTAAAAGGCAGTAAGCTAATCATGTGAAGAAATGTCATCGTGCCATGCATTTCAGTGCCTGCTTCAACATCACCCAGTGATATGGGGCCAGGGTGGAAAAACTATGATATGATGGCATTACATCAAGGGATAAGTAATATAAATTATGAGGGACTGGAGTAGAGTTTGAGACAGGGTTACGGCCTTTCATGGCAGCCCAAATGTGCTGTAATGTGGAGTTCTGCCCTAAGGAACCAATTCTAAAAAGGCATTCACTTACTTGCTGAAAATAAATGTTTAACATTCACCACTTTCACATCTCTTTTCAGCTCTTGGCAGTCAAGCCATTTGCAACTCAATCCTCTCTGTTTTGACATATTGTGGCTATAGTATCTAGGAAATCTACTTTATGGAGATCTTAATATTAAGCTTGAAAGTGCCGCCAAAGGTCAGTAACACCTTCACCCACTTACTTAACTATGAAACATTCAATGGCTGCACTTTTGTATGTGTACAAATACAAGTTCCATTGTCTCTTGATTTATTTATTTTTAATCATTTCCGGCCTTGCTTCTAAGTTTGAGTAATTGTTTTTAATTTCCAATTTTAATTTCCACTTAATGCTTTATACAATTTGATCAACAGAACTTTCAAGCTTAATATGGAGGTATCAATAAAGTATATTTCCTTGTTTCATAGACAAGTCAGTAAGTGCAAGCACTACTGACCTTTGGTGGCACTGTAAACAAAAATATTAAGACACACTAGGCAGTCTTACATGAGATTTAAACTGAGATTTGAGATTTCATATTAAGTGTTTCATTGATGGAATAAGTAAAGTGTGGCTGATTCCACAGCTGCAATCTTTTCAGAAATCTTCTGGATGATAAGTGCAACAAACAGAGCTTGAAACCAGAAGTGTGAGGACCCTCCGATGTATAATTCATGGTTGTATAAAATGTGAATCTGAGCTGAGTTTAATCCTATAGCTAATTTTAGAAGTTGCTGAAGCCATTTATAAGATTCTAGTCCTAACTAAAGGTGAAAGTTTTGTAAGTTTTTCAGTTCTTTGAAAGTACAATGTTGGGATTTTCTGGGTGTGTGTTTTTCCTATTAAAATCAATATACTGTGGTAAAAAAATGGTGAATGATGTCAATTTCATAAGCAGAATTGATTTAATTACATGAAGTGCTTAGAAAAAAATAGGCTGTATTCCTTTACCCAAGCTTTGCTGGGAGTAACCTCCCATGAGCTCAATGGGACTTTTTCTGAGTAGACAAGACATTGTAGGATTGCACTTTATTATCCTGAGCCAGTTATCCAAAGAAAAAGTTTGCTTGCTTTTTAGTGTGCGCATGTATGTGTGATAATTTCAAAAGTCCAAACTTCCACTTGTCCCATGTCTAGAAAGCATGGGTCTGAGCTGTTTTCCACTTGACCTATGTCCCCCTTCCCCCCCTTCCCCCCTCCTTACCCATGGCTCTTTAGCAAACAGTAATCTGTGGAAACCCCAATTGCTGTTTGCTCCAATTGAGCACTAAAGAGAAGTTTTCCCTGGGTGATAGGAAGCAGCGGGCAATGTTACTGCAGTGCACACCTTGTAGAAAAGGTAGCACAGGCATGTCTGAATGGTACTTCACAGACATGCAGACGAGCAATGCATGGGGGAAGGCTCAGTGACAAAACATGTGTTTCTCACACAGAAAATCCTGAGTTCAATACGCAGCCTTTCTGAGTAGGACTAGGAACAGCTCCATCTGAAGTCCTGGTGGTTGTTGCTGGTCATCTCTGCAGACAGAGTTAGATGGGTCAGTTGTCTGAATAGAACTCCCCTTCTTTCTCACAAAACCCACCCATGGTTACCTCCCCACCATGCCCAGCTTTCTTAATTTCAGGAAGTGTGTGTGTGTGTTTATATAGACTCAGTGCACTTTCAGACTCTCACTATTTTCAGGTGGGCTTTGTTAACACACTGGGCTGAGCAATTATAGCATACCTTCCAAGCGTGACGATTTTCCAGGAACAGTCCCAGAATTACAAAAGCCAACCCGGCTTCCCATTTGATCCTGGAATGTCCCTATTTCCCCTGCCACTGCTGCTGCCAAGAAGGAGGAGGAATCAGTGTGTGTCCTGAGCAGTGGCAGCAAAGGGAGCATCCCATTTCTTCTCCGTGGCCTTTCTATGGCTTTTGCTGCTGGCCTACTGACTTCAGCAGCTTGCAGTGATTGCTGGAGAGCAGGTGAGGAGGTGAGGTTGCTGCCACCAAGGCCCAGCCCTGAGAGAAGAAGAAGAGGAGGAGGAGGAGGAGGAGGAGGAGGAAGAGGAGTTTGGATTTGATATCCCACTTTATCACTACCTGAAGGAGTCTCAAAGTGGCTAGCAATCTCCTTTCCCTTCTTCCTCCACAACAAACACTCTGTGAGGTGAGTGGGGCTGAGAGACTTCAGAGAAGTGTGACTGGCCCAAGGTCACCCAGCAGCTGCATGTGGAGGAGCGGAGACGCGAACCCGGTCCCCCAGATTACGAGTCTATCGCTCTTAACCACTACACCACACTGGCTCTGAGGGAGAGGCAGAGGGCAGGGCCACCCTGGGTGGGAAGAAAGGGGGAGTGGAGCGAACCTCATGGAGTTTTGATTACTATATTTTTAAGGAACATTTTGTGCATCCATGTCTAAACTTGCCACTTCCTAAAACTTATTTATCTCTGTGTGTTTGTAAATCTACCAAAGAATAAAATAAAATCAGAATTAAGGGGTTTTCTCAGGATGGCACAGCGCATGTGTGCTGAGTCCCATGTGATGGTGGCGGCAATTGCCCTTCTTCCGATAGGAAATGCTTGGGGGCAACAAAAAATGGCAGGGTTGAGGTGGGTAGTTGGGGTACAGTAAGAAATGTCCCTATCTGAAGAACGTTGAAGTGTATCTTATAGTTCATTGAGAGGTCTTATGCAACAAAACCACTTCCCCCAAAGAATGATTTTTTTAATTTATTTTTTTGCAATAAGACTGTGAAGGGAAATTGCATTGAAAAGTGTGTGGCGTAACACTTGCTTTAACACAACATCATCTAACCTCCTTGTAAACAAATCAGAACAGATGGTTTTGAAAGAGCCGATGTGATCTAATCTCCCTTAAAACAAACTAGGACGAATGCCCACATTTTGTTGTTGCTATCATTAAGCAATCAGGAATTTAAAAAATGCTTGCTGAGTCTACTGCATTTGAGAAGCAGCAGAGATACCTTCTGCCTAGCCACTTGTTTGAACAAATGAATGGGATGTCAGTGCAGCAAGTCCGCAACAGACTACTGTATGGAACCACCTCAGTGGTGCTCAGCCATGCAAGTTTTTGGGTTTTCTTACAGCGCCCACAGGATGATGTCTTCAGCAAAATTCCATCCCGTTACCCCCACCCCCAATGTACTCGAGATTTACCACAAGTTTCCACAAGTGCTTCTATTTATTGAAATGGTAAATCTGGATTAAAGAGGGAAATAATATGTGGCAGCATTTTTATGAGGCATGTGAATCTTGTGCACACTTTGCAAACATGAGCAGAACCAAGACCACAATGAGCTGCCACATGGGAGTGCAGAGGATTCAGGGGAAAAAGAATAGTCTTAAAATATCACTGTTGAATTAGACTGACCTCTTGTGGTCAATTCAATGAAGAACCCCAAGTGATTTTTCTCCCAGTTGTAGGCACCTGTAGTAGTTCTGGAATTCTGTCACAGATTGAAAACGTTTCTCTCAAATGGGTGTGTGTGTGTGTGTGCCGTGTCATGTGATCAGTTACATGGGGTCCATTATGCAGCCACATTTGATCAATTATGCAGCCAAAAAAGTCAAAAGTCATGTGCAAGAGGGAGGTATCAGCAGATAATGAGGCTTCCAAAATTAGAAATAAAATCTGTATTCTACAGATTCTACTGTATTCTACAAATTCCGCTACACCCACCACCATCCCAGTGGCAGACCTCCGAATCTCAAATTTCAGGAGTGAGAGTCCTCAGTGAGAAATCAGGGGAGCAAAAAGCAAAACTCCACAGCGCCATCTGGTGCCACTGTGTTAGAATGCATAAACAACGAAAATAAAGCGATTTTTCTTTGCCAATGTAGCTGAGTCCTCAGTGAGAGACCCACTAAGTTTTCCATATCTCACAGGGTTGGTGAGAGGCTACAAGGAGAGTGAAAATCACTTATGTCAGTGGTAGACTTTGGTGGACTTTCAGTGGCTCCCTGTGCAGCACCCAAATTTGACCTCCCCCTCGCATCTCACATAATCACCTTCCATTGTTCATCATTGTTGCATTGCCCCCTGTGGCACCCTCTCAGTTTTGCACCCGGGGCAAGAGAACAGGTCCCTAAATCTGCCTGTGTTTCTGTCACCTTAAGTTCCTTGGAGAGCCTTGATGAGATATGAGCGGAATAGAAATCGTAATCCTGAGGGCAGGAGCTGTCATTTGTAAGCTGACATTTGGGAGTGTTTTGGGCTGTGAAGGACAAAGATGCTTTAAAATAAATAATAATGAAATAATAAAGTAACTGTATGCTTTTCTATACAAATGTTATGTTGCTATGTTCTAGCAAAGCAAAAAGCAAAAATACGTTTGTGTTAGGAAACCAAATCCTCCCTGCTAGGCTTTCTATGGAAAAGTTCAAATATCCCAATGTCAACAAAGTAAACCATGTCTAATAAGCTAACACAGGGACCAGGTGACCCTGACAGGTAATCATTATAACTTACTCCAGAACAAATTTTGAGAAACCAAAGGATGAAGTGAGCAAGTTGACTGAGATGAAGAACAATGACACCAGGAGTTATCAGGAAAGTAGTGGCCTAGGCTGGATAGGCAGGTCAAAGATTACTACGGCCAAGGTTTTGTTATGAAACTGTTGACTTTTACAAATGTGTAATGTATTTTTCCTTTCACAGTATGGATTATAGACACAGAGAGCACAGTCTGTATAGATAACAATTTTACTGTGATGTACAGGGAAATTTGTTCCTAAATACCTGTGGTCTTCTGTTGAAGTCATTCCTAGTAGCAAATCACTGTGGGAAAGCTGTAAGGGGCAGAATTGTATTTATGGCAGCAATAAAATAAGATCTGGTGAAATTTGGCAGAAAACCCAACCTTCTGGAAGCCTAAAAACTGAAAACTTTACAGGACTTTAAAAAAATTATGGATCTGTTCAAAATTATAGTCTGTATAATTATGTGGGCCTTAGATTTAGTCACTTCTTAATTTTTTGGTATTTGATTCTTCTCTCAACTTGCTTCTACCTGCAGCGGACCAAAATGTGACATACCCTCTCAGCTTAGAGCTGAAAATTTAAGCAAATGAGAGATATGATTTGGTAAAAGACATGGTTCTTTTTTGTTCACAGATATTTCATCACATTTAATTAAGTCTCACTTCTTTGGTGTGTGGCGCTATTTTGTTTTGTGTTCCATCATTTTTAATTTTTTATTCTGCCTAAAGCTGGAAGTGACCTAGGTCACTCTGGACCATTGAAACCGAGTGTCCCTGATCATTGTTCTTGCTGGCCAGGGCTGAAAGCAGCACACAGGCACTCAAAGCCTTGGCTAGTATTCTCTGTAAAATGGACTGCAAACACACACAAGAAGGTAAAAAAAGAAGGTAGTGATGAAATCATCGTGTTTTCCAGGCTTAAAGATGCTATATAGTGCAAAGGCCATACAAAAAACGGTCACCACATTGGCAATTGAGGCCAATGGCATCAAGTCCTGGGCAATGATTATTTCAGAGGGTAGGGACTCCTCATCGTTTAATGGTATGCATATAATGTTGATTTTCTTCATTGTAATTCTACGCACGGAACAGGCGCCCCAGATCCCAATCCCTTCAATGCCAGGTTTGTTGCTGCCCATGATGTTCTCAACCTGCCACACTCTCCATTCAAGATTGGCTGTGGAGCAGATGCTCCATAATGTAGCTGATAAGAGCCAGGACAAAAGCACCCAGTTGAAAACAGGACACCCTGCACAACACCCATACCGGAAAGGAGCCATAATGTGCCTGGGGTGGAACGGGAGCTTTGGTACTGGGAAGGCTGGCGATAGAAGGCATGCTGGAGAAAAACAGACAAAAGATAACAGTTAGATAGTTAGGCACAGTATCACATGGACCTCTCCTAAAGTTTGAGCAAATAGTGATGTGCAGCTGAAACAATGCCATCATTCTAGGGCAAATTCTGCATTTCCCCCTTGAGACGTAGGAATGGAAAAGTCTGCTGTACCTGCAATCATAAGTGCCAGGAATCAGACTTCCCCAGGGGTGGGTGAAGAAATTGCACAACCGCACAACCCCTTTTGTTGCATGGACCCACTTCATGCAGGTAATTGGACTCCTGTCTTGTCCACTCCTCCTCTGCATTCCTATGCTCCCCTCCCTTCCCTCTCTTTGTTAAAATGTCAGGCATGAGCCAACCAAAGTTATTCATTCTACCCTTGAAAGAAAGTTTGGTGCAACAGACCAATACAGCTACTGTTCAGGACAGAATCCTTTCTTACTTTAATCCTCATTCTCTCTCTCTCTCTCTCTCTCTCACACACACACACACACACACACACACACAAAATGTGGAAAAACCTACCAAGTGCCTCTCAGACAGGACAAAAGGAAATAAAAGTCAATTTGTTCTTATCCGAGAAAACACTGCTATCTTGGTGGGGAACTGAGGGGTGCTGAATATATACACCTACATGAAATCAGTTCTTCAACCAGTCTCTGTTACGCAAGGACTTTTCCCAGGGCTTTCTCTTCGTGTGTCTGACCTCAGAGAAGACCTGAGAAGAGTGAAGCTGGTCTGAGCACTGTAGCAACTGCTCCATGGAGTTCTGTGGCAGTTAGAATGCAGCTTTCTTTGAATGCTCAGAACAACACAAATCATAACTCCTGGGTACTGGCCGTTTGGAACATTTGGCAACTGCTTGGAGGCAGTATGCATTTAAATACCAGTATGATTCTGGCACTTTGAAAAGACACTTTTTTGTTAGATGTAAGCTTATGCAAAGATCGGGTACAAAATGTGGCAATAAACACTCCAAGCTACCAGTTCCAAAGGAATGAGCGAGCAAGATTTGAAAGAAACGAAGATAAATAAACAAATATTTAGTTGTTTCCATTGGGTTTCAACACCACTTTGAATTACAGCAACTTGATTCAGTAGTACTGGTGGATCAGACTAAGGATCCATCTAGTACAGTATCTCTTCTCTAAAAATGAAAAGCTTTATAACAACTTTATGGGGACAGGCATTTATTATCTCCATATTACTGTGTGGCAGAGGTGTGGTGACGTCCGATACTGTGGAATAATTTCTTACTTAAATTAAGACCACTCTGTAAATTCATGGTGAGGGGGATCTTTGAGTCAGAGGTTTCCCAGCTCCTTGGTTGCTTTCCTGGTCACCAGAATATCAATCCTCCCTGCTGTCGCTGGTCCCCAGGTAGATTCTTTTGAGATTCACTGATTTTCATGTGCTATGGGCTTGTTACATTTGTTTGTAGATTTATAAAAGTTGTGTACAAAGATTTTTTTCTGCACCTGCTCGTGGGGATTCCTTCCCTTATAAAACATGGGACTGAAAACATCCTGCATTCCAAAGCAGATTCCCAATTTGAACCCCGGAATGGGAGACCGCCCTCTTTTTCCAAACGTGGCTGGGTTTAGGTGGTGCTTATTTTCCAACTAAAGTCGTTGCGTACTTTGCTGTGGTTGCCTTGGAAGGAAAGCCCCCTCATTCTGCGGCAAGAACAGAATAAGAAGCTGCTTAGCCTTAACTGGAGACGACTAAGCCTAGGAACATGGGTGGCGCTGTGGGTTAAACCAGAGCCTAGGACTTGCCAATCAGAAGGTCGGCAGTTCGAATCCCCGCAATGGGGTGAGCTCCTGTTGCTCAGTCCCTGCTCCTGCCAACCTAGCAGTTCGAAAGCACGTCAAAGTGCAAGTAGATAAATAGGTACCGCTCCGGCGGGAAGGTAAACGGCGTTTCCGTACGCTGCTCTGGTTCGCCAGAAGCGGCTTAGTCATGCTGGCCACATGACCTGGAAGCTGTACACCGGCTCCCTCGGCCAATAAAGCGAGATGAGCGCCACAACTGGACCTAATGGTCAGGGGTCCCTTTACCTTTAAGCCCAGTGCCACCAAGTGACAGAAATAGAAAACAATGCCATGCTTAGTTGCTGCGTTTTTAAATGCACCCCCACCCCCTTGAAATACTGTCTGTGTTTCAAATAGATCTTGCCCCTTATTTGCTCAATAATCTCTAGGGCCCCCCCCCCCGCGTCTACAAGGCATGAAAAACGTCTTTCCTAAGCCACAGTAGCAACAGCCGCCCACTGGGGGAAGGAAGGGGAGGTTCCTCTGTCCCTCCTTTCCCTCCCCTCCGCGCAAACTGGGGAGGAGAAGCTGGAGAACTCCGCCCCTCGCCGCTTCCCCCAAGTGCGCCGCGATAAAGGCGCCGGCTGGCTCCCTCCTCTCCTCCCCGTCGGCTCGTACTTCCCGCGGCCGTCCGGTCCCGCCGCAGCCATGGTCCTGAACCCCGTCATCGGGAAGCTGGTCCACAAGAGGGTGGTGCTGGCCAGCGCCTCTCCGCGCCGCCAGGAGATCCTCACCAACGCGGTGAGTGTGCCGCCTTCGCTGCGCGCCGGGGCAGCCTGTGCGCTCTCGCGGCTCCTGCGCCCCGCTTGGCACCGCCCCCCCCCCGGGTGGCCCCTGCCTTCCTTTCCGCCAGGGGGGCTGCTGCGTTTTGGGCGGCTGCACAGGTGGCGACGCCACGTGTAAGTCGCCTTGAGACGGTGGTTTGGAAGGCGATTGATAAATAACTTGTAACGCTATTAATAAACAGCCCATCACTGCATCTTGGCTGCTGGAAAAGCTGCACCGCTTGAATTCCTGCCTGCCAGGTTGACAGCTCAAGAGGGAGAGAGGGAGGGGACGCTGACAATCCCATTGGCAGCCACTTTCTTCCCAACTACTTATCAGGAAAAAAATAATACAAATCTGCGGTTCTGCTCCCTCCCAACAAAAGTCTGCCCCCCCCCCAACAAAATAAGTTTGTTTTGTGGCAACCCTACTCTGAGCCAGGGCTTAATGTGCTCACTCACTCACTCAATCTCACACACAGCCCTCTGCTTTTGGTCCCGGGAACAATGAAGCAACAATGAAGTGCTCAGGATATACAGTGGTACCTCAGGTTACATACGCTTCAGGTTACATACGCTTCAGGTTACAGACTCTGCTAACCCAGAAATAGTGCTTCAGGTTAAGAACTTTGCTTCAGGATGAGAACAGAAATCATGCTCCGGCGGCGTAGCGGCAGCAGGAGGCCCCATTAGCTAAAGTGGTTCTTCAGGTTAAGAACAGTTTCAGGTTAAGTACGGACCTCCGGAACGAATTAAGTACTTAACCTGAGGTACCACTGTATTAGTGTCCTAAAATCCTACTTGGCATGTGTTGGAGCCACTGCCCCAGCCACAAATAGCACACCTGTCCTTTGGACGAGCCTCTGTTTCAAAGGGGACAAAAAATTCAGACAAACCCTTGTGTCATTTATTGGGGTGGGGATTCAAAAGCAAGTTCTAAAGAAAGGAGCAAGTTTTCAAGTTCATCTGGCTAAAAGTGCGGCGAGGAAATAAATGGATGTTGAGTGCGATGGAAAGTTCAGGTCTGCAGCCTGTAAAATAGTTCATGAGATGAAATAAAGGTGCTGTTGTGCAAGTTCACCATGGGCTGGACTCAGACCCAGGATAGCAGGCTGCACTAAAGACAGCTCCCACCCCCCACAACATTCCAGGGGGGAGGGAAGACAGTGGCACAGAGTGCAATGAGATGGCAGGTCTTCAAAGGTGCATTCAGTTCTCACACATTTTGAAGTCTTTGAAAGTACTTGATCCACTAGTTCAGCTGTGGAATTTGCTCCCAATGGAGGCTGCGATGGTCACCAATTTGGATGGCTTTAAAAGAGGATTAAGGGACCTGGGTAGCACTGTGGGTTAAACCACAGCCTAGGACTTGCCAATCAGAAGGCCGGCGGTTTGAATCCCAGCGACGGGGTGAGCTCCCGTTGCTCGGTTCCTGCTCCGGCCAACCTAGAAGTTCGAAAGCACGTCAAAGTGCAAGTAGATAAATAGGTACCACTCCAGTGGGAAGGTAAACGGCGTTTCTGTGTGCTGCTCTGGTTCGTTAGAAGCGGCTTAGTCATGCTGGCCACATGACCCAAAAGCTGTATGTCGGCTCCCTCGGCCAATAAAGCAAGATGAGCGCCGCAACCCCAGAGTCGGCCACGACTGGACCTAATGGTCAGGGGTCCCTTTACCTTTAAAAGAGGATTAGACAATAGATCATGCAAGGATCTTGCTATATCAGGCCAATGGCCTGTCTAAGCCCGCATCCTGTTCTCGCAGTGGCTAACCAGATGCCTGTGGGAAACCTGCAAACAGGATTCAAGCACAAGAGCGCTCTCCCCTCCCGTGATTTCCAGCAGCTGGTTTCCAACCATGCCTCCAGAGTCATGGAGATAAAGGCTTTCAGTAGCCGCTAGCCAGTTCAATAGCCCCTCCACCAGGGCCTTAAGCAGAGAGCATCCACATAGCCTTCAAGTTTTGTAAGATTTATTGCTGAAATAACTTAGTGTCTCTAACAGGGCCTCCGGTTTGAAGTTGTTCCCTCCTGGTTCAAAGAGACGCTTGAGAAGTCATCTTTCACAGCTCCTTTTGAATATGCTGTAGAAACTGCAAGGCAAAAGGCACTTGAAGTGGCAAACAGAATGCATCTGGTAAGCCATATAGGGACCTCGTCTGAGACGATGCTTTAAAAATGCTGTCAAACTCTTTGCTGTTGCAGTCCAGATCCCTACATCTTGGTTTATTGAACTTGGCTTATTAACAACAAACTATTTAACTACAGAAGTGCATGAGTGTTTGAGATGGGGCATGACATTTAATCTGTAGTACAGTAGTACAGGAAGGCTTCCTGTTCCAGACAGTTGTGCACTAGTGATGGGACCAAGCAAGTGCCAAGTCATCACAGAACCCCCTCATGTGACACCTTTAGCATAACTGTTTTACTTAATGGTTGGTGGGGAAGCTGGATGCAGTCTAAATCAATTCAAGATTGCTTCTATTGTGCTGATTCTGCACTTGCTGTTTAATTTCCCAACTGTTAGTTTAAGCAATGGTTAAGGTGGAAAACTGAACAAAATGCATTTTTATTTCTTCAGAAACATCTTAGAACACCCGATGTCGTTATAGGGGCAGACACCATAGTGGTAAGTCATATGTACCAGCAGCTGAAAATTAGAATCTCTCTAATTAACAACTTTTGTTTTATCAATACATGCAGGTCCTGCTTTCACTCGCAATACAGAAATTCACTTATCCAAACAGAAAGAATTGTCTCCCGAACCATGCGACACACCCCACTGATTCAGGTGTTCGAACAGCCAGAGTTTGCCAATTCCTTACTTGCTTGTGCTTTGCTGGTTGATGGCAATCGTTTTGGGGCAGAAAGCAAGGAGAGAGGGATGGGGGAGAGATCAGACAAATCAGAGAGCAGGAGGGATGGGACAAATCCGTTTTTCTTTTGTCTCTCTTTTGCTGATTGGCTGCAGCCAATAATGGAAATCGTCAGGAAATAATGGAAATCGTCAGCTCGTCATGCAAACACTCACCTAATGAACAATTTCCTAGAAACACATTTTGTTCGGAAAGCGGAAGTTGCATGTACTTATAATTGCACGATAGAGATTGGGTATGCCAAATCATCCAGCCCAAGCTTCCATCAATGTGCTTTTTTTAACTCTAGGGTTTAAATAGCTCTTTCCTAGACTTCCTGCTTTTACTTGTGCATGGAATTAAATGCTTATCACCTGCAGTGTTTACTTTAAGCGCTTTGTACACAGACAGAAAGCAAAGTAGCTAATCATTAATATGTAAAAATATCCCAGGGTGAAAAGGAGTTTAAGTGGGGAAGGACTGTAGCTTGAGTTGTACAGTAGATACCGTATTTTTTGCTCTATAAGACTCACTTTTTCCCTCCTAAAAAGTAAGGGGAAATGTGTGCGCGTCTTATGGAGCGAATGCAGGCTACACAGCTATCCCAGAAGTCAGAACAGCACAAGCGATTGCTGCTTTCACTGCGCAGCGATCCTTCTTGCTGTTCTGGCTTCTGAGATTCAGAATATTTTTTTTCTTGTTTTCCTCCTCCAAAAACTAGGTGCGTCTTGTGGTCTGGTGCGTCTTATAGAGCAAAAAATAAGGCACTTTAAATGCAAAAAGTCCAGAGCAGGATAGTAAAAACTCCTGTCTGAAATGCTGGTGAACCGCTGCCAATACTGTAAGTGTCAACAACACTGAACTAGATAGGCCATTGGACTGACTTGGTATAAAGTAGCTTCCTATGTCCTTATTTCACCTCAAGTAGCAACTCTTCTATGGGAGAGAACTAGGCTTTCCCTTGACAAGTGTATGCAAATATACATATTTAAATATATTTATTCCCATTTCAGACAATAGAAGAACAGATTTTGGAGAAACCAGTGGACAAACAAGATGCATATAGGATGCTTTCAAAGTTTGTACTTCAAATCACTGCTTATTTCTAACCATGTTATACTGCCTTTGTCGGCCTTATTTGTGGATATGGAAAGCAAATGAAAAATTACTTGATTGGGATATGCTTTTCAGTTGCCCTTCGTAAGAATGATAAGCATGTAGTTTCATTTGTTGGGGAAATGCATCTATTACAGTTACCTGCATTTCTTGTGTACTTATTCCCACAGCTCATAACAGGCTAGCTCTGTTTCAGATTAATCTCTGGATCACTTTTTAAAT